GTTTACCAGCGTAGGCGCCTGCTGCACTATGGCTTTACAGTGAAGTCAACTAGGGGCGTCACCACCGTGGTCGCTGACAGGCTCCCGCGGTGCGCCTCCAAGTCACTGATCTGTGGCGCACCCGCCCGTGTCTAGGATTGTTTAACGGTGTACATTGAAATTGTGTGAATGTTATGCTTTTGATGTCCTACAGCCCCTACTACTGTGAAAATCCAGAATGGTAAAAGGCTGAGGCTCTATCACGTTGATGATGACCTGCTGAGGTTCAAAACAAAGCTGGACTCCAGCATTTGTACATTCAGACTACTTCGCACTGTGGGACTGCACATAGCACGTGACCGAGCTTTTCGGCCGATAGTTGTATTTGCAATGCGATAGAAAGCCTCTGACAGTTCTTCTAGTGGCCACAGAAGCGTTCCTGGCAGATAATTATGCACTGGTATGCTCAGGTTGTCAGCAGCTAAAGCTCCCAAGTCTCCCTATACCCGGCTTCTTTCAAGGCCTTCCGGTTCCCGAAAAATTTAAAGCTAATATGACTCAGGACGTAATTGTTGGATTGGCGCAGCTTCAAGGTCAGAACAGCGTCTACGTTCCTGTTGCCACACCCCGCAACTACCCCGTTTTACTCCCTTAGTAAAGCTGTGTAAAGGCTCAAAAAAATAGCTATTCTTAACTCTCGCCCGGATGCTAGACGGAATCCCCAAAAGCACCACCACGGGTTGGGATCCGATTTTCGCTAGTGCCGGCGTAAGCTGCTTACGCCCTGACCACACAATGATAACTGTGAACCGCCCTGATGCAGCTGCACAGACAAGGCGCACCAACCATATCCTTGTGCTCTAATTGCAACTGCTTGCTCACAAAAATCCAAATGCCTGGATTGATTTCCTCCCTTAATTGATTGGGATTAGAATAATAACAGTGCGCAGGTGTAACCCGTGGTCTCCCGTATCCCGTGGTTATACTGAGGGGTCTCTCTCTGATTTAGGCCTAGGCCTAGTGACCTGGAATGGAGAGCAATTGTTTGCGACGAAGGCATTCTGAAAGCAGCTGACTATTGCAAGCGATTTTCTGGGCAAAGCTCGAGACACAAGCACGGATTTAGGGCAAGCGATGGTCGACTGTGTGTGTTCGATCCTGGAAGATATGCCCCTACTGGGTCGGAGGCTTTATAGTCTGCACAACACGATAACCAGACCAATAAGTTTGCAGCTAGGTGCGTCGGACCACTTGTGGTTTTCTCACAAAACAATGCTCTTTCGTACTCTATCGATATCTCTCAAGGACGGAGGTGATACGCAACTGTCAATGCTGGATTAATTAAGATAGTGCAAAGCTCATTAAACCATCCGCACACTTCGGCCGGCAGGGAAGTGACTTCGGAGGAGGGGAACGGTCCAGAGGGAGCCGTAGAAGCGCTGGAATTAAAATTATCCAGTGCCGAGAAGCCACTCCACCGGAGCTTTCAGTGAAGCGGGGTGTGAACCGCCATCCGTAACAGTTTGAGGGGGACCGGCTACCGGTTGCAAGCTCTGTTTCTTGTGAGAGAATTTACGGCTGTGTTTGATTGACAATTGTAGTCGCCATGGACAGTATTCCTTGCGGTTATTGGTAATATCCCTCCCATCGCATGCTCTGCTTCAAATAGCTGCCTTCATGTGTAAGTATCACTTTAAAAGTTTCCAGCTATTTTTGGTGGGGTGTTGTTGACATTTAGGTCTATGCACCGACAGCCTCAGGCGTAGTGTCTGTACATCTTCGCCCTGCCACTCAAGGGATTTTGGCAGTCGTCTATGTTGCATCACCGGCTGCATTTGCACGTAGAGATTCTTCTACGAGAACGGAGGCACTGTTGGACTTCCTTGTATCTAGTTTTTTTCTACATCTTAAATTTGTATTCTGGTGTCTCGTAGCAGGAAGCTCGAACGTTCAGCGCTCCCAAGACGGTGAGCCAGCATACGGATGCGGTCGTGTTAAATTTGTCCCTCGTTCGCTTTTTGCCTAGTATTCTTGCTGTATCTCATTTTATTCCTTGTAACTGTTTCCTACTTTGTACCATACGTACATTTTGCGCATTTCTGCCTGCCAGGGGAGTTTCAATAGGGTGGGGACGATTCCGCCTTCTTGCACGCATGTGGTCTTCACTTAAAGGTACCTAACGGAAAAGCATGTGTCTTGAAATACAGACGTTTGTGTGACGGGGTAAGCCAAACTTAAATACATTCTACTACACTGATTTTATTCATCTGCGATGCGTAAGAAATGGGAACGATACACCAATCATTTATGTCTTTACTGTTTTAATGTACACTTTGCTCAGTGCAACAGGGTGGAATTTTGTATGTATGCCCGTTAAATGCCATGTGCAACTAGCTGCCGTCAAGGGCGATGCGCATATGCCACGGTGCATAAGGGGTGCAGCAGTGTGCACCCTAGACTTCCTGGTTCCCCTCATTCCGGAGGGGAGTGGGCAGGGAAGGCGGCAGTTCATTTAGGAAACAATATATTATGTTGGATTCAATCTGTTTGCTGTATGGAGTTAAGTGTCTCTCCACGAAGACCTTAGACGGAGCATTGCAGCTATGTCATGAAAGGCATCGGTTAGGTCTTGGTGTGTATACACGTAAGGAATGACAGGCACCACTAGGCTACCCGTTAATTGGAGCTCTCACGAATGTCGCCTTGTGTTAGCGCTTTTGTCATAGAGGAGTTCCATCCAGTGATGCGTAGCAGGAGCATATGCACACCAGAAATGGTAGAATCGCGGCCGGCGCCACACTGTGCAGCAATCATTTATGAGTTACGAGAGGAAAGACTTGTTACTGACCTAAGAATATTGCTACCCAGATGCGTTTCGGCAAAATTCGACTAACATAGGGTGCTGAAGGCCGCAAAACCTAGTATTAGGTAGGGCGCACAACCCCCCTTTGCACGAACTGCTGCCTCGGCGGGAGCATGCATTGGGACACAGCATACATGCAGCCTCAATTCATACTCAAAATGCATAAATTTATGGATTCTGTGGATACAGAGGAGACTAAGTACGGTTCATGCTAATTATTTTTGGTAGAAGCAGGCGCCTTACATTAACTTTCGCATGGGAAATCTACAGAGTGGGGTGGGGCTGCCGGGGAAGCGGCGAACCATGTGGGCTGGTGCTGCATCTGGTGTCCATACACCGCAGGTGCACCCCACCGCACTTGATGAAGCGGGGGCTACTACATGGCGTCACTTTTGTGCATTTCAACGCGCGTTCAACTCAGTTTACGGCTCCTTGTGGCGCAGGCCCCGGAAGCTGTCTTTCCTGCACTCACTCGTGTTTATTTGGGTACTTTCTCCCCTGTTTTTCTTGCTTCACACCCCCATTCGTCAAAATGGAGAACAAGGAGACCTTTGCCTTCAACGCTGATATTCAGCAGTTGATGAGTAAGTGAATTAACACTAGTATTTCTCGTCTAAGTGCTCAAGTTGAGGGAATGCTTTACGCACGATCTTGCTTTTCGTCCTATGCGCTTTCCACGGGGTCGGTCCTTCTGCTTGTTCCTGGGGTGGTCGGGCTATGGTGTCTGTGCTTTAAAGCTCCTCTAGAATGGGGCATAGGGCAGAATTCTTGGCTGTTGTGTATATTCGTCGTGTGCTTGTGGGATCCGTTTGTTTGGATGTTGCACTCGTTTCCCGCGCTTATTGTCTCGTAGCGCGACAGACTTTTTGGCAGTCTCTCTTGGGGGCGTATCAGATGTCTGTCTAACTACTTTGGCGTGTGCATGTTTACTTAGGCTTGATCATCAACACGTTCTACAGCAATAAGGAGATTTTCCTGAGAGAGCTTATCTCGAATGCCTCGGATGCATTGGATAAGATCCGCTACGAGGCAATTACCGATGCCGATAAGCTGAAATCTAAGCAGGAGCTCTACATTCGTCTGATCGCTGATAAGACCAACAACACCCTAACGATCGAAGATAGCGGTATTGGTATGACCAAGGCAGAGCTTGTGAACAACTTGGGTACCATCGCGCGTTCTGGCACAAAGGCCTTCATGGAGGCGCTGCAGGCTGGAGGCGATATCTCTATGATTGGCCAATTTGGTGTCGGTTTCTACTCTGCATACCTCGTGGCGGATAGCGTGACAGTTGTTTCAAAGCACAACGACGATGAGCAGTACGTGTGGGAGTCTGCTGCCGGAGGTTCCTTCACCGTTCAGAAGGACGACAAGTATGAGCCTCTGGGCAGAGGCACCAGGATCATCCTGCACTTGAAGGAAGATCAAGGAGAGTACCTCGAGGAGCGGAGGCTGAAGGACTTGGTGAAGAAGCACTCCGAGTTCATCTCGTTCCCCATCGAGCTCGCCGTTGAAAAGACGCACGAGAAGGAAGTGACTGAGTCTGAGGACGAAGAGGGCGACAAGAAGGAGGAGGAGAAGGAAGGGGAGAAGAAGGAAGGCGAAGAGGAGGGCGAGAAGAAGGAGGGCGAAGAGGAGGGCGAGAAGAAGGAGAAGGCCAAGAAGACGAAGAAGGTCAAGGAAGTTACTCGCGAGTGGGAACAGCTGAACAAGCAGAAGCCACTGTGGATGCGCAAGCCCGAGGAAGTCACTGAAGAGGAGTATGCTTCCTTCTACAAGTCTCTTTCCAATGACTGGGAAGAGCACTTGGCCGTTAAGCACTTCAGCGTTGAGGGGCAACTCGAGTTCAAGGCTCTGCTCTTCGTGCCGAAGAGAGCTCCTTTCGACCTCTTTGAAGCCCGCAAGAAGAGGAACAACATCAAGCTGTACGTACGCCGCGTCTTCATCATGGACGACTGTGAGGATATCATCCCCGAGTGGCTCAACTTCGTGAAGGGTGTTGTTGACTCCGAGGATCTTCCCCTCAACATTTCTCGTGAAAGTCTGCAGCAGAACAAGATCCTGAAGGTCATCCGGAAGAACCTGGTCAAGAAGTGCCTTGAGATGTTCGCCGAAATCGAGGAGAAGAAGGAAGACTACGCGAAATTCTACGAGCAGTTCTCCAAGAACCTCAAACTTGGCATCCACGAAGACAGCGCGAACAGAGCGAAGGTAAGGCTATCGGGGAGCCGTCTGATGGTCGACTTGAATGCATGCGGTCGCAAGTGTCTCGCGACATTCATGAAGTGTCCAAGGCAAATTCCCTACCGGGTTCCGTTGCATAACCCATCGGATCGCTCTTCGTTAGGGCCAGACTCCTTGGTATAGCACAGTTGTCTTTTCTCCCGAGTCTTTCGGTGTAAATGGCGACTCGCGGTCCTTAAGGCTCTCCTCTAGACTCTAGACCTTGTGTTTAGGGTTAACTTGCTATTGCTAGGCTAGGGGGAGGGCTGCGTTTACCGCGGCACAGCATAGACTATTCTTTTTCCATGGTTCTTGATTATGCTGCATGCACATGTGTCTCCCCACCTCGCGGTGGATGCTCTTTTGATGATCGGGAACATGCACCACGCCTAGACTGCCTCTGAACTGCAGTGTTTGTGCGGAAGAAAGCCCATATTACCCACATATCTGATGAGCGGGATTCATCATGATGCATGTTTGCTTTTGGAGAAGCTGATTACGCCACTACATATTCATGTGCATATTCGAAATGTACACGTTTTGCACGTGTTTCAGCAATGCCGTATCATTGTTGCATGTTTTTTGGAGTTTCATATGTACCGAAAGGGTCAGTTTGTTATAGCGCGATCGTGGATGTTTGTGTGTGCTCAGATCGGGGAGTTGCTGCGCTTCTACAGCAGCAAGTCTGGCGAAGACATGGTTTCCTTCAAGGAATACGTCGATCGCATGAAGGAGGGTCAGAAGGATATTTATTACATCACCGGCGAGTCTCGTCAGAACGTGGCGAACTCTCCCTTCCTGGAGAAACTCAATAAGAAGGGCTACGAGGTGTTGTACATGACGGAGCCTATCGACGAGTATGCAGTCCAGCAGTTGAAGGAGTTCGACAACCGCAAGTTGCGCTGCTGCACGAAGGAGGGCCTCGAGATTGACGAGTCTGAGGAAGAGAAGAAGAAATTCGAGGAGCTGAAGGCGGATTTCGATCCCTTGCTGAAGCTTATCAAGGAGGTTTTGCACGACAAGGTTGACAAGGTGGTTCTGTCCAACAGGATCATTGACTCGCCTTGCGTTTTGGTGACGACCGAGTTCGGATGGTCTGCGAACATGGAGAGGATCATGAAGGCTCAAGCCCTTAGGGATAACAGCATGACGAGCTACATGGTTAGCAAGAAGACGATGGAGGTGAACGGCCACCACAGCATCATGGCCGAAATCAAGAGCAAGGCTGCGGTTGACAAGTCTGACAAGACAGTCAAGGATCTCATTTGGCTGCTGTACGACACAGCGCTGCTTACGTCAGGCTTCAGCCTTGAGGAGCCCACGCAGTTCGCGGCAAGGATTCACAGGATGATCAAGCTCGGACTGTCGATTGATGAGGACGAGGATCCAAAGGACGACGATTTGCCCCCCCTGGAAGAGGTCGAGGGAGCAGCCGATGAGGCTTCCAAGATGGAGGAGGTCGACTAGAGTGCATCCCCCCGTATCGATGTGTTGCGAGTGCAAAGGCAAGGTAGAGGGGAGGGGTGAGGGGGAAGTCAGCGGAGATGAATGACGCGCCGTGCATCATAGCAACGGAAAGAAACTGCACAAAGGGGTGATCCTGCGAGTAGGCGATGGTCTCTTGCAGGAGAGCAGCAATCAGTAGGGCAGGCGGAGGGAAGTGACCCCGTGATAGTATCTGGCTATAGAAGTGTTCAGAGGGTATATTAATTGGTCTGGCGATATCTATATATGTATATATAGACATCGCCCGTGTCTCCCTCTCTTGGACAGACATACATTAGCATCAAGCACTGTATTTGTTTTTCAAAGACGCGGGAAAACGTGGGAGTATGCGGTGGTGTTCGTGCGCACCTCATGTGCGTTGTAGTGCTGGACTTAAGGAATAGGTTTAGAGGGGAGAGGGTTTCAGACGCATGGGTTTGTACTACAGTTGCAGATGTAGACATCTCAGGGATTTGTTAATTGGAGGACGTGCCAGAGGCCTGTAATTCGTATCCCCTAGGCCAGTTTTCATGGGAGCCGTAGCGGTCAAGTGGTTCCTCCTCACAGGTTGGCAACGCCGGTTAGCTGCTAAGTCGAGACGTAAGAATCATGCAGTTTGGGTTGTGTTGTCAGTGACGTAAGCCGTGAGATCCGTCCCAGAATCGGCTGTTTGCGCTTGGTGCTGGATTAGACGTGGGCAAGGCTTTTGACGGGAAGCCTTGATGATATCTTGAAGCTGGATCGCACTAGGCGCACGATTTCTGGGCTATGGGCGCTTCGAAAGGTGCCCTGGCATTTTAAAAATGTGGATTCAGGCTGATACGCGTGTAAACGTTGCCTCTGCAATGTCTGAATGCTGCATGGGGGAGGGTGACTGGGCGGTGTGCACGTCGGAGCAACCCCAGGAAGCTGAATTTTTCGATACGGCCAGTACTACTACGACTTGCATCTTGCCTTGCGTTTTATTTTTACCTTGGTGCTTTGCGATGTAAATGCCTCGGGCAAACCCCTCATCTGATCTTCGTGTGCAACGGGTTTTCCGTAGGGTTCCATGGTGTGTCGATTGCACATTGGCACAGGCTCGACCCCGCAGAGCCGTATTTCTTCACTCATCAGAACTCTGACGGACTAGCTTTCTCATTCGCGGCCTCATTATGTGTCAATGGATCCAGTCCTTCAGAATGGCAGGCTAGGGGCTGCCGGGGGCACTTGCTTGTGCCTGCAAGATGGGGGCGCACAGCTCTGCGATTGTAATCGATTTCTGGTCGTTCTGCCCTTATTCACCCCCTTTGTGCCATGTATGGAGGTTTGAGTGGAAGGCAGGCATCAAAAACTGGTGGCAGAGCCACAACTATGCTTACCTTAGAAAGCTCCGATGCACTGCGCATCAAACGCACGGACTGTATTACAGTCGCTGAAGCTTTCTACTCGTCAAGCAGCGCTCTATAGCCATCCAACGGTAAGTCCCTATAAGATACGGGCGCCTATGGGGAGGGGAGTGGGCTTGGGAGGGGCCACACTTTGCATTGGAAAGCTCTCCATGGCTCTGCACAAGAATGCGTCTATGCAATCTACAGCGCCAAATGAGTTTGATTGTAGCTGACAAAGGAAGTAGCGGACTCCCTGCTTCCTTTGTACGGCTCTGAGTGGCGTGCCACCTGAAAGTATGGCTTTAAGCGTGGGGTCATCACAAGGGGAGGCTTTTTATGAAGGCGGTTAGCGTTGCTGCTACATTTCAGATGTCCTTCCTGTGAAGCACGTTTCGGAGAAGAAGGCCGTAGTGCTCTGCTTCCTAGTGATAGTGCTGCATGGGGAGTCGCCTCATGATGTGCACCCTTTCACCCGGCCCTTACAAGCGGCCTCTGGGGAGAAGGGGCGCTGAACTGTTTGTTCGAGTTTAAAAGCTATCAAGGAGTGGGCGTCTTACTGGGGGATATACAGACATAGCCAGCGAAACAAATGTTAGTGCGCGGATAAAGTCGCAAACGGTTAGGGCTAGCAAAACTAAGGCATGCGCACGTAAGGAAGTCAGAGAGTACGCACGCACAAACGACTCCGGTGGTCTTCGCTTGATGGGTGTGCGAGTGGTCCTCTTGTCTGAAGCCACACATCTCAAGGGCTGCCCGAGTTGGGTGGCTGTGGAGAGCTCACACGAGGCAGCCAGCCATAACGATGGGGGAAATCCTGCGAACTGCTATGGTTTTATATACAGAGAGGGCCCTAGACGGACCAGCCTACGAGGGGCGCATCCCTAGAAGCCGTTCATCGCGGCTTAGGGGAGAGGAGTTGAGAACTAAAAGCCTACGCAAGGATGGAGCCGAACTCCAGGTCTGAGTTTGCTGTTTTGGACGCGGCGAGGAATAAACCCTTTTCCCTTCACCTCTCACCTCCCCGAGCGTCGCAGCAGAGTTTACGTAGGCGCATGTTTTTGCATTGGATCTCACGCCACTGCTGCTGCTTTTGAAGCGCTTCGAGCTTTTGTGACCGTATTCTATGCATCAGCCGCAGTTGGCGAGAGGCATCCCAGGAGCTGTCCATTGGCTTCGCCGCGAATAAGCCTTGCTTCCAGGGTATATCTCACGAACTCTATGTGCTACGGGGGCTCCGGGTGCTGTGGATGCAGCTGCTCTCGCTCGTAGCGGTGCTGGCGTCAGATCTGCGGCTGCGCCTCGTTGTGGAAGCGCTGGAGGAACAGGTCTATAGCGCCTTTTAAATTAAGGATTTTTGGACGGCATGGTATGAACCTAGTATGTTGGTTACAGCAGCTACAGCCGCTGCATAAACGGAAGACTCTGTTAACGGGGTTTAGCAAGGCCTAGCGGGCAACCTCGAGAAAGGAAAGAGGCCCGATAAGGTCGAGCTCAGAAGACGGCGTCCGAATACGGAATCTTCCTTGTACCTACGTACACCGGCGCTGTAGGTGGCTGCACTTAGTGGTTCGGATGGTGGAGTGTCTCAGCTTTCGCTCTGTCGGAAACACCGACCCAGCAGCCTTTTCAGCACAAGTTATAGCTACTGCTGTAGTGGCTGCCACAGAGGGTGTTGCACCAACAGCCAATGCCCTCGGAGGCCGCTCATTCTGGAGTGTCTATGATTTCGCTCCTGCTCGCCAGCCGCTGCAAAAAGATACCTACGGCTTCCTCTGTGTGCAGCAGTGTTGCGCTGCACATTGAGCTGACCGTCCTTCGCCCTGCGTGGCCATCTGCACATTTCTGCGTGCTGCTCAGTAGAACTGTGGAGCACATGTGAACCCTCATTTGGAAGGGCTGAAGGCTCAATCATGTAGACAGCGGCCAGAAAGAAAGGAGGCGGTGCCTCTAGGAAGGGCGGTGCATCCTGACTGCTCTCACGAACCAGTCGAATCTTTGCCTAATGCTTTTGCAATCTCTAGAGCCGTTGAGCGAAGAGCAAGACTCGGAGGGTTTCATCTAGCGCTGCGCCTGGGAGTTCCTGGGGGTCATACAGGAAGATGGTGAAACTGAACTTAGGAGCAAATTTCCCTAATTAGGATTCGACCAAGTAGAGAAATGACTTTATTTGATGAGCGAACTATCAAATGCCATTACGCAATGCCTCGATTTTTGCTGATGTGTACAACGCACTCTAGTGTCGCGGCCTCGCGTTTTCCCAGTTCATACTTCAAATCTACGAATGTCCTATCGTTTTTCTGCTGGCCACCTCCTACCTTCTGCTGTAGCTATTTCAGATTGTGTTTGCTACATGGAGATAGTGGACAGTGGCGACAGCCTGTAGGACCCCAGGGGTTCTTCCTAATTCTACTGTCGCCTAAACAGCGATGGCCTCGGGTACGGCTAGCGTGGCTTGATGATGCCTTCAGCTCTTTGAAGAAAGCCTTCCGAGCGCATTTCTCACTGCGTGTCGCTTTCGCAAGGGGCACACGGAAGTGGTAGGAGGAAGAATGACGCGGAATGTAGCACTAGAGCAGAAATAACAAGAGGACTTAGAGACCTTGCACATCATCCGCGTAGGCATATCTTCTTTGAGATGCAATTACGGATTTGCGGTTTGGGGAAGAGAGTGCTGCTCGGAGCGAACAAGTCTCGTAGTGCTCCCCTTCCTAAGAGCCCCCTTTGAACCTCAAGCATACGTAGGAGAGATCTGTGGAGTTACCGCCACGTGGGCGGCCATTCGGTCTTTCGCAACGGCGGGGCACTAGAAGATTCGTGCGAATTAAAGTGGCACAGAGTTTCCCCGCCTTTGGCGTGAGCGGCATGCGCTCCACCACTCGGTGAATGAGACCTTGTGAAGGCAGATAAGTTGTATCAGCGTATTGAGAAGACAAGCGCCCAAGAGGACGCAGAGCATGATCTTACCAAACCATCTCCAGAGAATGGCGGCTTCCTCGTCTGTCCATAGATGATGTACTTTTTGTTCTTCCTGTCGCATGTATTCCGCGCCTCCGACGATCGATGGCTCCTGATCTAAATCCTGGTCCGCCGTTCGGCGCTGCACCAGGGTGCTGGCACTGTCGGAGCCATTCGAGCGAGCTTCCCAGGAAAGCTCCGTTGCGGCCCTGTTCGCTGCAGCCTCTACAGTGGGGGGCCCGTCGCTAGCGTCATGTAGGATGCTCGAGGCGGAGTCGCCGGCCAAAGCCTGGACGGCGGGGAATGCCACGCTGTTTCGAAGCCCTTGAGACGCTTCAACGGTGCAGTTGACGTTGAAAACGCACGAGAAAGGGTTCGGAGGGAGAAGCGTAATGCAGAGAAAGAAGATAAATAACAGAAGGGAAAATGGCAGCAATACTCGGTTGCGCCACGCGGACCTCCTGAACACGTTGCCACTAATAAATAGCACTCCCGCGTGCAGCACGCAAATTCCAGTCCAAATAAAAACCAGCCCGGCCTCAGTATGCCCATCAGTGCTGCAAACGTTCCCCCTCTCCAAGGCGTCGTATGGGGGGGCATACAGGGCCCCCCCGCCGCTGCTGCCTCCCCCTATTGCGACGGCCACGTCAGTATGCATAAATGCAGGGAGACTCCAGTGGCTCCTGGCGGTGTCGAGCTCTGCTGGAAGGAAGGCTGAATTCGCATGCTTGAGCGGCATCGAGATGGACTCCAGAGGGGCCTTTAGGGCTTCAGAGAGAGAGGCTGCGACGTCCATGAAAGAGGGCTCTCCCTCAACCTCGGCCGTTTTCCCCGAAGGTGACGAGGCACCACCACTCAGTGAGAGGTCGTTCTGCAGGAGAGAGGGCGATACTACCCCCGCGCGCTGCACTGCACGCTCTCTATTCTCTGAGAGCTCTGAATTCCCCTGAGGTGTCTCACGGCCTCCTTGCAAAGGCGCGCTAGGGTTCTGTCGTACCACAGCCGCCCTCTCTAAAAAGAGGCCTGTCTTCTGAGGGTCGAGCGTCTCCGGAACCGACGAAAGCTCTTTCTTCTCTGAACTAGAAGTCAGTTCCCTGTGTATTCTGGACTGCACCCAGTAGCAAGGTTCAGGGAACGCCCCCGGACCATAGAACAGGTAGAGCAGCAGCGCTAAGCTGCCCAAGTCAACGGCGACAAGCGTGAGGACAGAGGTCATGACTCCTGCCCCGAAGGGCGAGGAGGGTGGCGATTTGGGTGCCAGGGGACCGTTCGTCGGGGTAGAGAACAGCATTGAGAAGGAGAGGCCAAGTAAGACGACAAGATCCAGGAAGAGGCCTGCAATGGCGTTCATGCCGCTGTATTGGGCCACCACGATCAGCAGACTGGCAGTGGCTGCCAACAAACCATACGATATGTGCAGTTTATAAATTGCCATGGCGGTGCTGAGGCTGCAGCGGCCGACTCGCACGATATCCACAAGGCCCCTTACTCCGTCCTTGCCATGAGTGCATTCCGTGGAACCCTCCGAAGTCGGTTTGCCACCAGTGTGGAAAATGGCGAAGGGTGCAGAGAAGGGCGCGGGCTGTACCTGGCCCATTTCAACCCCGACGTCCGCTTGCCGAATGGCCAGAGAGTCATTGCTACCGTCTCCCACCATGCACGTGGTGAGGCCTCTTCTCTGGTAGTGAAGAATCACCAGCTTCTTGCCCATGGGCGACATGCGCGCAAAAACGCGGATGCGGAAGAAGATGCGATCAAAGAGAGAGGGCACGCCACTCTGCCAATCGAGTCGCTCAGAGAGCAGCGCAACTCGCTCCGCGTGTTCTTTGAAAGCTTCTTCTCTGGGTGTCCGTCGCCAAGGGTCTTCGATGTCGTCTGCTGCGTCTCCTACATGATCCGCCGATTGCTTGTCTGGCTCCATCATCAGAATTTTTGCAGCAGCCATGGTCAGTGCTAACTCCTTGAATTCGTTTGTGTAATACACTCTCCAAGGATCAATGTCCTCGCCCGTGCGCACGTCTGTCCATTTGACGCCGTGAAACTCCCCCAACCCTGAAAGGGAAGGCTCTCCAGGTTCCACAGTCGCGTTTCCTAGCAGCACGGGGGGCCCCTCCTTGAAGTCTTCTTCTTCTTCTTCTTCTGCTGCTGCGTCCTCCGAGCCTCCTTGACGCGTGTCTTGCGCCTGCCTGCGCGGCCGTACAAGGTTGGCACGGCGCGCCACTGCAATTGCCGTGTAGGGGTTGTCTCCCGTGAGCATAACACAGTGGATGCCTCCAGCACAAAGTTCTTCGACAGCGTCTTTGGCATCCGTACGAAGCTCGTTTCTGAACAGCACGAGACCAAGACACTCGAGGTCACTCTCTAATTGCCGACGGGGAAGGGCCTCTCTTTGCTCGTCAAGTGTAGCGAGCTCCTGCGGTGTCAACTCCCTATACGCTGCCCCCATAACGTACACTCCGGCCTTGACGTGCTGCTTCGCGGCCGAAAGATAGTCTGAAGGCACTGTAGAACCTCTACATATCCTTGCAACTTCCTCGTACCGCCCCTTCGTGTATATGTAGCCCTTCTGCCCCTTGCAGCCTCCAGTGTCACGGCATTCCCGCACGACAACTGTGACCATCCCCGTGATCTGATCGATCCCGTATGTCTGCAGGATCTCTAGCATAGGCTCCGCCTCGGCTTCTTGCGCATGATCGCGAGGGATAACAAACTGCCGCGTGTTCCGCTGCTTCTGAAGCTCAGCTGCCCATGTAGTGGTGGCCCTTAAGAGTCGAGGAAACTTAGCTGTTGTCAGATTGGCAGACGCGATTTCCACAAAGTGATAGCCGCTGACCGCGAGGGCCTGCTTCTCGATACAGCCTCCCTCCAGATCTGCATAAGTGAGGGCGGGCGTCATGCTGGAAATCTTCCCGAGCTCCTTTCCTGTGAGAACGCTTTGCTCTCTGAAGGCTGCCTGCTGCTTGCGAGTCCACGCGGCTACCCCGTGTGCGGTGACACGGAGGCCGTTACAACAGGCCAGGCACTGACGCAGAGGAACACTAAGGGTTCCTTCCACAGGTTCCCGATTGTACTGCGTCACAGGCTGCTCCGTCTCCTCTTGTTCGTCGACAAAGATGCTCTTGGTGCCTTCCGCCGCCTCCTCTTCCTGTGGTTTATATCGGACGAGGCGCTCGAAAGCCCCTCCAGAGACGGGGTGAGCTCCCAAAAGACAGAGTTCATTTTGCGTTAGCGTGCCTGTTTTGTCGAAGCAAACAACGCGAATCTTGGCTGCGAGGGGCAGCAACCCGGGGAGGACAGCTGCTGCTTTGTACGTCTGAGGATACGGCAGCTGCTTGGTCCTAAAGCGGCCTGCCCCCAGTCGTTTGGCGTTAAGACTCGCGCAGATACCCCAGAGGGCAGGGAGGTACAAGGGCACCATTCTAAGAAGCTTTTCTATCGCAAATCGAAAGGCATCCACTATATTCTTCGTGAAAGGCGACTGTATAGCCATGAGTGCGAAGGCAAAGAATATGACGGCTAATAGGACAAGGGGAAACTGTTCGTGGTACTTGAACCGAATGACTGTTGGCAGATGCAACTGGCGAAGCAACTGGCCCTGCATGGTCTCCCCGTGAGTGCGCACCGCCATCCCCCAGCAGCAATCGTCCCCTAGAAGGAGAGACACAGGATCCTCGACGTCCTTTTCCATTGGCTCCGCCGGAGCCTCGCCTTCGCCAACTGAATCGAGCTCAAACATCGTGGCCGCGAGGTCACTCCTGCAGCTCGTGTGAACAATCTTCGATCCAGCATACACACACGTGATGGCGCTGCTGGCAATATTGGAAGGGTCGAGCACTTCGTCTTCCGCCACTTTCGCTGAACCCCAGTCCGAATCCACGCTCTCCATAGACATTGGGGGAGAGGGGTTCCCCAAGGGCACCTTAAGGACTGGCTCAGTCTCCCCTGTAAGATGCGACTCATCTAACGAGAGGGAACCATGCACCAACAACATATCGCAGGGTGCCTCATCCCCTGCCTGCAGCAACAGCAGGTCACCCGGGATCACCTCGCTCGCACGCGCTCTCGTCAGAACAAAGCGGGGGGGCAGCGGGTTCTTTCTCTCCGCCGACTCCGAGGCATGCGGCTCCTTCCCCAAAGTAGCAGCAGCGCCTTCGGCCTCTTCTGCCTTGAGCCGGAGGACAAGAATCCTTCGGTTTTCTAATTTTTCGGCTTCTCGTTCCATGAGGCGCTCGAGCTGCCTCTCTCCCCTCCGCAAAGAGCAGACCCCAAACGTGAGCTCCACGATGGGCAACGCTAGAAGAATAACCGCCTGCAGGTTGTTGAGAGCGAACGCCTGATACCACAGGGCCATAAGAGTAATGAGGTAAAACTCATCCTGCAGGAAAGAGGCAACAAGGAGGCTTGACACGGGACGCACAGTCCACCACAGCCCAAGCTCGCCATCCACATAACGCCGCTTTACTACCTCTTTGGGATCCAGAAGATTGCGCGAAAGGCTCTCAAGACAGCCAGAAACGGCATCTTCTTGAAGGCCTCCATGGGAGTCCGCCTCTGCTCCAAATCCCGCTAAAGCCTCTGCCGCCTTCCTCGCTTGCCGCTCGTACATTGCAGCAGCAGGCACGAAATAACCCTTCATGGGATCGTAGACCATGCGCACTCGGGAGGCCTCCGCATATCGGCCAGCAGCGTGCGGCAACTCGCACACAGAGGTAAGATTTGTGGTTAGTGGGGGCTCTCCAATGTCTTCCCTGTCCTTCAGGAAATCCATATCCGTCGTGCCGTTGCTCCTCTTGATGGGCGCTTCTTGGCGCCTTTCAGGCCGCAGCAAAATCTTCTGCAGCTTCCTGTCCACAAGAATATGGGTGCTCCTTGAGAGTACACAGGGCGAATAAACAAGCCGGCGGATCTCCTGTCGCCAAATGTGCACGACCACCATCCACAGCAGACACCAAATGAAGCAACCAGAAAAAATGTAGACTCTGAGGGTGATACACTGCGGACTAGCTGCTACAACTGCTGCATCTTCCGCCGAGCTCAGTGGTGACCCTGATAGCCCTTCGTATAAGGAAAGCGGCACGTATCTGGTGAGCTTATCCGCTGGCGTCACCGAGTTCGCAGCAAATCCAGCGAAAAAGGGCAGCAGCACCGACACAACAATCGATAGAATAACCAGTCCATACACCAAGAACCCCATGGGAGACAGCTTGTATCCGTACTCTTGAAAGAGCATACCACCATGTTGAATAATCGGGCTGGCCCACACGTAATCTTTTTTTGGCGTCTCTCTTTTGGCATTGCGATCGCTCGCCGATTCCGATCCACTCTCATTCGTGCTGGCCCCCGCACCCCCTGTGCGTGCTGCAGAAGATGCCGCCCCTCGCCGTAGAGCCTCCTGTTTGCACTGCCTCCTTAGGTAGTAACCCCAAAGTGTGCGCCTCCACAGCAGCCACCCCAACAGCAACACAAGGACGAATACGTAGTAGATTCCTGTATAGAAGATCATGCGGAGAGATACCGGGGTCGTTAGACGCGATGCCGGGCAATTGAGGGCATCGCCGTTGTTGCCCAAGGAGAGCGCTGAGGCGACCGCTGCATAACTTTGAGAATTCCCCTCAAGGCCTGCGTTCTGGAAAGGCGACGCTGCGGCAGCATCCACTGAAATTCCGTCCAGCACATGGAGGAGCAACAACAGCAGCACCCAAGACCGCACGCGCCTGCCAGTGCCTGAAGGCGCCCGCAGCTCCTGAGGCGCAGGGGCACCTTCCAGCCCCATGGACAGCAGGGCATCTCGGAGGCAGCAGCGCGGTGTCTGCTCCACGTTGGTGGTGGGTACAGAAGGCTCCTGCGTTTCCCCGTTGGAGGGAGGGCCTCGAGGTGTATGTGGCGCTCTTTCCCTGTCCCTTTGGGGCGGCCGGAGAGGTCGGCGGTACGCGCCAGACGGAGTCAGCGTCCGGAAGAGCAGCATTGCGTGGCTGTTTGTACTTGAAAAGCGTCTTCGTTGGACCGAGCTGAGGCGGCCTTGGGAGTATTGGGCAAAGGCCCTCCCACCCGCGGGGACTAGTTGCAGAACCTCCCTCTGCGTGTCTGGATCTTGCGGCGGGGGCAGACATCAGCCCTTCACGGGTGAAATGAGATGCGCGCCACCACAAAGGGCGCAGGCAGAACACAGGGCGCTGCTGCAGGAATCACAGCGGGTCGCCTGCTGCAACCACACACAGTGACCTGAGCAGAAAGCTGCTAAACGCCAGTACCCCGGTGAACAAATACACACTTCAGGGCGTACCTAATGAACAAAAAACTACGGGGAGAAGCAAGCTCTTCACCCTTCGAGGCAGGCATCGGTGCCAGTAAAAGGGCGCGAGGCAGCGAGGCCCGCTGTCACACGAAGGGCTTGCTGCACTGTGTCCTCGAGACCGCCCGCAGTAAGTGGTGCTGCTGCTGCCTTTTGCATCAAATGCCGAGAAGAACTTTCATAGAATTTATATCAATTTTGCTGGATTGAGGTTAATAAGGAGCTTTTTCGACGGCAGATATCACACGAGCGAGGTAGACAGAAACAGAAGGACGTTGCCACGCCCGGAAGTGGACCGCCGTTCTGATTTTCTGTCATACCGCTGGAAACTTCTGCTGATCGAACGCTCGAAACCAAAATCACTGACACAAAACCCCGATCGCACTTTGTTTTAAATTCTCTCCCTAGTCTAGTCAAATCCTTACACAGTGCGCCACATCGGTGACCGGCCATGCTGATACAACAACGCGTTGTGGCAATGGGGGAAGGACCCCTGTGTGCCAGTCGTGTGTATCCCGCATATCTCGGTCTTGATCCAGCTTGAAACAGCAGTAACAATATCGCCCTTCTCATTTCATTCAATAGCGCGCCTAATCCGTTCTTTCGAACAGTCCATGCTGCAGCAGTGACGGCATAAACGGGGAGAGCTGTCAGCACGCAACTGGCAACAAGTGCAGTACTCAACAGGCCTCGAGAAAATAGACCCCGCTTTTGCAAACCTATAAGAGTCTACCCGAAGACTGACCGAATGGCGGAGCGCGGCGTAAAAGAGGCACGCGAGCACTCAGAGGGAGGGCCGCCTCCACGTTGAAGCGTGCTCTGCACTAGCGTATCCAGTAGAAATATAGCCGACACCATTGCAGTTAGGGCTTGCAAACGGTCGGAGCCCTCCTAGAAGCCAGGGAGAAGCAAAGGAAGAACAAGGGGGGGGAACCAAGTCGTGGCTTGCGAAGCATGTTTCTACACGTGAATGCATACCTCTACTTCATATATAGTTCTCTAGTGGACCTACTTATTCTAACCCTTTCTACTATGCTAGGTATATGTTCAGCTATTAAATAGCAGGTATTTTTGACATATTGGTTTGTCTGTCCCTAAATTTCGTTTCACCCGAAGTACTATACATGTTACACAACACACTCATCGTTGTGCGTGTTTGCGCTAAATGCAATGTGCAACTAGTTGCGAGTGCTTGACGTGCTTCGACCGTGCAGCAACACGCACTTGGACGCTCCCTCCTCCCTCATGTCGGGAACTTTGAGGGGCGCGGGCAGAAGAATGTAATAATTCTTTTACAAGCACTCACAATGCTTCTAGAAAAAGCTTCTACCGAGTGAAGAGCTACACGTCTTTCTAAGGAGAACGTACATGCAACGTTACAATTGGGAGCATTGCATATTCGACAAAGCTGTTCCCCGCTCATCCACTGCCTCTAGATGTACTAGTATGTCGAATTTCCCTATAGCAGCTATCTGATGTTGATCAATGTAATCGGGGGCTAGATGTCATGGATGTCTTTGGCAACACTCTGAGATAGCCGCCCTCTGGTGATTCAAGCCAACGGCAGCACAGTGCCTGCTGGCCCGGTAGAGGCCCGCCTGCAAGCATTTAAAGTCATTTGAGAAGCTACATAGATCCTAGTAAAAGCAGGCTGAGTGGCGAGCAATGCTGGAACTTAGGGAGACGGAAAACCTTTATGGAAGCTGCACGCACTGAATTGGCTACAAAGGATAGAGCTACATTAGGATACCCACCACGATGAATTCCGCGCTCATACGCGTTCAACAAGTAATCTGAATGGCACATTTTACTCACAACTGGATGTGAAGTGGAGTTCGTATCCGAGGAAATGACACAGAAGTGCAATCTGCCATTTCGCTCGCAAGCGCAGTGGCAGAAGACTTGGCCTGCTAACAGACTGCAAAACGCAAGGACTGGCGAGGATATGGAAGAAACAAGCCCCTTTAGATCTGCATTGGATTTTTCAGCTAGGTTCATGACCTTTATGTTGCCACGGTGCACCACTACTTACTCCCAAGTATGCCATGCGTGAAAAGCGAACATGCAGACACAGCTGCGCGCTGTGGAGGTTAGTGTGTTAGGAAGCGCCGGCGATAATCTTTAAATGTTGTCAACGGTCCTGATTTCATCAACGATAAGTGCGGTAGAGTTGGTTCCTCAAAAAGATGTGAGCAGAGCCTTCATGCGGGTGACTCAGCAGCGCAGTAAGAGATGACGGTTCTGCAGCCTACGCATCCCAACCCAGTGGCTGTTCAACTGGTCCCTTTTCAGGTAATTCAACTACGCGCTATTCCCAAGAGCATCAGGGTTGGGTAAATGAGACCAGTACGCGGATCTGCAAATAATGACGAGCTGTCAGCACGCTGGCCAGCTGCTGGGCTTCCACCGCACAGTATGCAGCTAATCCTTGATTAACTCTCAAGCTATGCTTCATGGTATCAGAATATTATACCGCATGGATATAAGATTCAGTGGCAGGCAAACGAATTTCAGAAAATAGAGAGCGCAGGAATTGACTAGCGCTTCGGGGCATAACCTGATGATGCTGCCAGAAAAGAACGAAAGGTGGCACGCGTGCGTTCACGTTAAGCTTCTGAACAATATTACTATGAAACAGAAGCTATCGAGGCTTTATGCTGGTGAGTAACTTCACAAAGGAGATGAGGCAATGGTCTACTCGACATCGAACTTCACAGACGCTTTCGTACGTTTACCCATCACCCCAACGAGAGGCACAAAAAGGCCTCCTACACTCGCACTCGCAAAGACAAGCACGCCTATATGCCATCGGAAGTTGTCAACGCCCCTGTTGAGGTGCAATAGCAACTTAATTAGGACCATTGTGAGCCAAATAAGGAGGGGTGTATGGCATTCTACACAGATTACGTCTTCGTCTACGTCAACACGTTTGAAAGCATAAATGGTGAGCAATTCAGCTGTTGCAGGACGACCAGTGGATTGTGAAGGCACACACGTGTTGGCTATCTACTGCTTCTGGAATTCTGCGGAATGGGTTACATCAGGCGAGGAAGAAAGCAATGAAGGCGTTGCCTTTAGACACCTGCAAGGGCGCTACAAAGTTCGATAGCATTGTGCCTTGCTACCAAATGTTCA